AGCACTTGGGAAAGCAGATCCTGCGCCTCACCTGGGCAACTCAGTAGAGCTGACCCTGCTGGTGATGGTGCAAGGGAGCTGACCCCAAGGGCATAAGTGTGGGAGAGCTAGCCCCACTACTCATCTTTCATGCAGTGTGGGTGCGGGAGAGATGCCCCCCTTACCCTTTGCTGCCTACAGCACTCAGGAGAGCAGGCCTTACACCTCACCTGGGCACCATAATAGTGCTGACCCTGCTGGTGGGGGCACAGGTGAGTCTGCTATGAGGTCATGAGAGTGGGAAAACTGGTCCTGCACCCCTTGACTGCCATGTAGTAGTGAAGCAGAGGGAAAGATACCCTTTCTTCCTCATCCCTCGCTATCTGCAGTGGACAAGAGAGCCGATCCTGCTGCCCATCCCCAGCTGCAGAACTAGGGAGGTTGGACCCTGTACCTTGCCTGGGCAACACAGTAGAGCTGACCCCACTGACAGAGGCGTGGGTGAGCTGGCCCCAAGAAAGTGAGTGTGAGAGACTGAGCCTTGCTCCTCATCTACCATATGGTGGTATGGGCAAAGGAGAGAATCCCTCACCCCATGCCCCTTGAGTCCTGTGGTCGGGGGGGCGGGGGGGATCCATCTCTGAAGTCACTAGAGCGAGAGAGATGGCCATGCCTTTCACCTCAACTATGAAACACAGTAGAGCTGGTCTTGGTGTGTAGGTGTTGGTAGGCCAACCTTTAGGACAGCAGTGTAGGAGAATTGGCCCCTCCCATTGCTGCTTACTACACAGGGTGAGCTAGCTGATGCAGTACTGGAGAGCACACCCTGGTGTCAAGGATGAAGGGAAGCTGGCAGGCTGACCATCCCAGCAACTACCCAGACTCAGAGCCAGAGCTATGAATTGGCCCATCCCACCACCCACCCCATCTATGATCTATTGGAGCATGTGAAGGGATTGGTCCTGCAGACCCAAAGTTACAGGATCTCCATGACACAGGACAACAACAGGATATTCAAGAGGAGTCTCAGTAAGGGCCCAGTATTGATGATGTAGCAAAAACCAGAGACCTCAAGCTAGACTAAAGACTCAATGCAATGAACACTTCCAAGTAACAATATTTTGACTAAAGGACTGTGTGACTTACCGTGTCACACTACAGCTTCCACAATGAGACTTTTTTCTTTTCTTTTCTTTTAAATTTTATCTTGCTTTATCCCAGGGGAGGGACGTGGGGAGGATAGAGAGTGGATGAGAAGGGACAGGAAGATGAGTGGAATTGAGATGCATGATGTGAAATCCACAAAGAATCAATACAAAGTTAAACTTGAAAAAAATTTAAAAAAAAAGAGGCCATGAATTTGAAAGAGAGCAAGTAGATCATATGGGAGAGTTTGGAGGGAGGAAAGGGAAAGGGGAAATGATTTCATTATATTATAATCTCAAAAGAGAAAAAAAAGAAAAAATTCAAAATATAGAGACATCCATTTCTTAGAACTCACTGAACATGAAGGATTTATAATTGTCTTTTTTCTCAAATTTGAAAAAGGTATTTTTTATAAATATATTATACATAATATATATTTTAGAAGAAAAAATAAATTATTGAGGACCCCTTTCCTTAATTCTGTTAAATGATTATTCTTGCTGGGAGGTGGTAGTGCACGCCTTTCATCCCAGCACTCGGGAGGCAGAGCCAGCCTGGTCTACAGTTCGAGAACCAGGACAGGCTCCAAAAGCTACAGAGAAACCCAGTCTCGAAACAAAAACCAAAAACCAAACAAACAAAAAAAGATTATTCTTATGTTTAGTATGTGACACTATTTTTTTATGTTTATGGCTCTTATTACTTATGTAAAGGCTGAACAAATTTATATAAAGTACAGGAAAAATCACAGAAATAGTAATCAAATTAAGCCAGTTTTCTTTTATGGATGATTCCTATTACCAGAAACCAAATCATTTATATGCCAACAAGAGTTGTCACCAGTGTAGGTACTGACCTACAGATGACAAGGAATTTCTGCTACCTGTGTCTGGTGGGATAATAGTAGAGTTTATGTTCAGTGTACTCTGGGGTTACTTGATCTACTCACGGCAAAACTTTATCATTCACGTTATGTTGGCATCTGTTCCTTCTGTCAACATCAGAGTATTGTGACTTCTTGCTAATTAGATAAAACTTGTGCAGTGAAATAAAGTGGTTATGAGGTCTATTGTGATTGTATGTTATGGTTTTAAAAACTGGCATTATTATTGAAAAGAAACATTTATGTTAAAAATGTTTTCAGGGGCTGGAGAGATGGCTCAGCAGTTAAGAGCATTGACTTCTGTACCAGAGGACCTGAGTTCAGTTCCCAGCATCCATATGATTGCTCACAGCTGTCTGTAACTCCAGTTCCAGGGGCCCCAAAACCCTCACCCAGACATACATGCAGGCAAAACGTGCGCGCGCGCGCACGCGCACACACACACACACACACGCGCGCGCGCACACACACACACACACACGCTGTGGAATAATCTCTTGTACACTGTGGAGATTTGTCACTTGAATTGGTTTAATAAAATGCTGATTGGCCAGTAGCCAGGCAGGAAGTATAGATGAGGTAACTAAACTAAGGATGATGGAAAGGAGAGAGGGGCAGAGTCAGGAGTTGCCAGCAGACACAGAGGGAACAGGAGATGAACATGCCATACTAATAAAGGTACCGCCATGTGACAGAGCGTAAATAAGGAATATGGGTTAACTTAAAATGTAAGAGCTAGTTAATAAGAAGCCTGAGCTATTGGCTAATCATAAGTAATATTTAGCCTTGGAGTCAATTATTTGGGAAGCGGCTGCCAGGTATTTGGGAATAGGCAGGCAGGAAAGAAATGTCTGTTTACACACACACACACACACACACACACACACACACACACACACACACACAAATAAAACAAAACAAAAAAACATTAAAAAATGTTTGGATAGAATATTGGGAAACAAAGTCTATTGTGTATCTCATTTATAAAACCAATGATCGGGGGCTCTCCTGTTAGGCAGCGAAGAGGACAGTGACATAATCAAGTTCAAAGGTCATTTCTAGTACCATAGTCTCTGAAGCTTGAGCTTTCAATGTACCAAACCAGGAGATTAGAACCCAAACAGAGATGGTCCATTGGAACATTTTTTGCTTCCGCCACGGGGTGACAGAAAACCATTCCTGCCCACCCTTCCTTCTTCTCCATTCCCGCTCCTCCCTTCCCTGACTGCCTCCTTTAATCTAGCAGTCTCTGACACAGGGGCTCACGCTAGAGAACTGCCTGAATTGCAGCATGGCTTTCACAATCAATGAGGGTAGAAATTGCATGTTATCAACGAAAGTGTTCTGCTGCATGGCTCCATATGACCTAGGTTCTCAGGTAACAAGAAGTCTGGAGATAATAGTTGTCTGACTCTGTTCAGTAGCTTTGTAATGTCACTGATTCTTCATCTTTGGTTCTGCCATTCTTAAATCTGGGGTCTTTTATCATTTGTGTCCTTTGCTTCATAGATGCAAAATGGCTTTCACACTTTTCAGAAACCATGCCTGTTACTTTAGTAACACAAGGAAGAGGGTAATGCCATCATGTCTTCTCTTACATTAAACAAAGAGGTAAACACATTCCTACAAGCATTCCCACTTCTCTTCTGAGGTGATCATCTGAGCTGCAGTGAGAAAGTGTTCACATTTTCTAGTTCTTACAATGGAGGTGGGCAAGGGAGCTAGAGTTTGGTACTGGCTGTTCAGTGTCGCCAGCTAATGTATCTGCCACAGACAGGGACAGAAAAGGTTGCTGAATCACAGTTGTTTTCATCTTCCACCCAGGGGACAGACTTCCAGGCTCTGCAGAAGATGTGCCAATAACAGATGCCTGGAGGCAGGCAACTGTGATCAACAAGTCTCCCACTGAAGAAGGTCTTCAACTAGGGAAACATAGCTTCCTCTGGGGCTGGATGAAGAGTCTGAAGTTATTAATAGAAAAGCTGCTCAATACCTAAGATACACGTACCTTTTTGTACTTACAATAGTGAGAAGATAATGCACTTTTCATAATACTAGGAAAAATGCCTTTTATATCACTTATTGAAGCAGCACAGCACCATTGGGAAGTTGTGATCAAATTTGGAGATTTTTGTTTTTCTTTCAATGTCAAAGATCTCGCTGGTTTATTTTAGGGGGAAAAAATCATAAACCTAAGATTAGTATGAAATCTGGCCCATTCATCGAACAATAGAGTTTTAACGACCTCTGCTTTCTGCCTCCCAGGTGTACAGGCAAGGACTAAAACACCAGCTGTTGCCCTGAAAGACTATCTGCTCTTTCAGATATTTTCTGTTTACCAAGTGAAGAGGAGGTTAAGCCAACAGAGAAAAAGTAGTTAAAAAATACACTGTTGTTCTATTTTATTATGAAAAAAAATAGAACAAGTTCAGGGGTTGAAACCTAACTGCTAGGGGCGGGGGCCTGTTTGAGTCTACCGGCTTTACACTGACCAGCAGCTACCCTCGTCAGTACCTCCGGGTGCAACAAAATAACCAAGGAAGAAGGAGAATATTGAAAACAATCGAATTTTTGCCCGAGTGTATCAGTGTTAAGTGCGGACAATATCATGACCGCCAGCCCCCTCCCTGAGCTCAGAGGGTAAGGACAGAACTTGTCAGACATTCCCTAAGAGTGGGAGGGCAGGCAAAGAGACGGCCCCCAGCTCTAATTAGCAGGCCTTATGACTCACTGAGTTGGCACAACCACTGTTCACCTAATTTCTAACGAAAACAGAATGCTGCTGGCAAGGCATGTCCAAGACCTAATGACACTTTCAAGTACACACGGTATCAATAAAGATTAAAAAAAAAAATAACCATCCACTTGGAATGACTACAGAGAATTTTGTGCTGAATAGTTCCAGCTAAGAAGAGTTAATTATCCGAAAAGCGAGTGAAAACAAGAAGAAGTAAATTTTGAGCCACAGAAAACCATTTAAGAAATGACTTACACTTCTCATGTTTCTGCTGCTTGTAACTTTATCCGTAAGTGATTTGCTGGTGGGCGATGTACAAATGTCTATAAAGTATGTGCTGCAGGAGAAGGAAAGCGGTTCTTTAGGTTTCAGGATGGTAAGGCAACACTTGATATGCCAAACAGTGGTTTTGAACCATAATCTGGCCTGCAAAACACCAGAATGTTCTGACACATGATCCACCTGAAATCAGGCCTGGCAGGGGTGAATGCTGAACACCTGTAATCGATTCAAGCCACCCTAAGATCTCGGAGGGCAGAAGGGCTTGAGCCCAGGAGCCCCAGACAGTGTAGTAAGATTCTGTCTCAAACAACTAAGAAAGGAAACAGGAGTTGATGAAGGAATGCTGGGTAGAGTGGTAACATTGCATCAGAGATTACATCTCAACAAGACAGAGCTCCAGCCTGTGATTGGCCATCCCAATGTCTCAGTGTCTCACAAGCGAAAGTGGAGACCCTGTCGCCTGACCCCAAGCTCAGAGCCTGGTTTGCTAGACCACCTAACCCCTCCCTGCTTTTCCTGCTTTCTTCATCTGCACAATTTTGCCACTCAAAGCGGGAGAGATCTTATGTGCTTCTTCCAAGAACTTTTCATCTAGCAAACCCTGTGTGTGAGACGCCACCATCCCATTTCTTTGTAACCCCCACTTTGCTCATTGAAACATCCTTACCACTCCAGGCCTCTCCTCCTGCACAAAGGCACTGGCTTTTATACATGGTGCCACTCTGCCATGAGGTATTCCCCTTACCCATGTGCTGTGCTTTATTGTGATTATTAACTTTTTCTCTCACCAGCTCACAAATCTCACCTTCTTTAATTTCACTACTGGATCCCTAGTGCCTATTCCTGGGCCTGCCTGGCACCTGCGAAGGGCTCATCAGATACCCGATGAGTGCACTGAACGAATACAATTCATTTTAAACTGTGTGCTCTCAAAAATGAGTAGCATGCTTACTTCTCCCCATGACATGAATTAGGCAAAATAAAAACACAACATCATTTCAGTGCCCTGAGAAACATGTAACACGTTTTTTATTTCATTAAAAACAGACCTCAAATTGATTTTTATAAACATTTGATTATATGACAGTTACGATGTTTTCTATAGCCTCTTCTACAACAGCTTAAACTTAAAGTGTCCATTACTGCCTAGAAATGGTATAGGAGAAATGACATAAAATAGACTCATGAAACTAGACTCCACTTCACAACTATCCCTCAATTTAAATATCTGTCTCTTATGTTTCTGTTCACTTGAGTTAAAGTTATTTGACGCCTCCTAATAGTCTCTAAAATTATACGTGCACATTTTTATTTTTGTTTATTTTTCAATCAGGTATAGATTTCTTCTTGGAGTACTTTGCCTTGTATTTGGCTAATTTATAATTTACCCCTAAACTATGGCATTTTTAAAAGCATATCTTTTAAAAGCAATAGCGTATGCTTTGGACTAATGACCCTAATGCAGTAGCTAGCAGTATTAGGTATTAGGTAGTAAATGATAGTAGTAAAGGATGTTAGTGGTGAATGATGAGGTCCCATGGTGAAAACTGCAAGGTGCTCACACTTGTTATACTGAGAGCAGAGGCTGGGATTAGAAGGAAGATTGAAGATTAACAGGCAAGGTCTGAAACACTGAGGATGATTATTAGGAAGTCTTATAGTTGGATGTGAAATAAGCAGACTAGACAGATGAGGGACAAGGGGTTCTGGAACACTGAAAGCAGACCAGTCTCCCCTCCCCCTTCACCCTGTCCTGGCTGGTTCCTTGTCAACTTGATACAAGTTTGAGTCATTTGAGAAGAGGGAACCATTACTGAGAAAATGCCCCCATCAGACTGGCCTGTATTCAAGCCTGTGGGCCATTTTATTGATTAATAATTGATTTTGGAGGGCACAGCCCATTGGGGGTAATGCCACCTCTGGGTTGGTGGTCCTGGGTTGTGTAAGAAAGAGGCTAAGCAAACTGTGAGGAGCAAGCCAGTAAGCAGCTTCTTCCATGGTCTTTGTTTCACTTTCTGCCTTAAGGTTCATACCTTGGTGTTCCTATCTTGGTTTCCCTCAACAGACTGTGACTTGGAATATGTAAGCCAAATAAACCCTTTCCTTCCCAGCTTGCATTTGGTCATGATCTTTATCAGAGCAATAGAAGCAAATGAAGACATCCCTCAAACCCTTGAGGGACATATGTAAAGCCACCATCGATCTCTCTTACATTCTTGCTTGTTATGTGGCTAACTGTAACAGACTAAATTTTAAGGATTGCTTCCAATAAAAACACTTCTACCTCAGAGACCTCAGACTACCCCATAGATGAGGAACTGAACACGAGAAAGACCAAAGCTACTGAAGCTTGGTGGCTGTGATAGAGCTAAGTCTCTGCCACAGTAAAACTATAAGCTGGTCACTTCATTGTGAGGACAAAGGAAGCTTAGTTGAATTAATGGCACTGGAAACACCTGCAAGGTCAGATGGTATTAACACTGACCAAATGACTAATAGTTACCAGTCAATAGCTAACAAAGTTGGAGGAAGAGACCCATAGAGGGGAGTTTCAACCACCTCTAACTGAGTAAGCACCACGTGAAGAGCTCGTGAACATCTTCCTGGCTGGGCAGGCTGGGCATGCACATAGTTTGTGATTCTTGTATTTTTTCAGCCCATGACAACACAGATTAGCCAATTTCAGTAGAGATTACTTCAGCCTTTGTCCAGACTCAGCCATGGCCCTATGAAAACCTCTCGACAAAGGAGTTCCATGATTTTTTTCCCCTCTCTTCAAGCCCCTCCTACTCTTGGAGATTTCTCTCACTTAATTTATCACTTTTCTATAAATCTTCTCAATAAAGTTGAATCTGCTCTGCACAGTCCCATGAGAGTCCACATCTTTAAGTTTTATGGTTGACAGATAAGGAATTCTATTCAGTGTCCCAGAGACTTCTACTTTGGTCACTATATGAGTGTCCAACATCCTGGGTTGTAGCATGAATCCTAAAAGGTCTTATTAATAAAAACAAACCCGGAGCCAGGTATTGGGGTGAACACTGAAAGATCAGAGAAACAGAACCAGCCACAGCTAACCTCACCTCGCCAATTCCTCAGCTGATCTCGTTTCCTCAAACTGAAAGCCTCCATGTCCTCATCCGAATGGATCTCAGCTGAACTGCTACTCAAAAGCCTAAAAGTTCTAGTTCCTGGTCCTCACGCCTTATATACCTTTCTGCTTCTTGCCATCACTCCCTGGGATTAAAGGTGTGTGTCACCATGCCTGGCTGTTTCCAGTGTGGCTTTGAACTCACAGAGATCCAGATGGATCTCTGCCTCAAGGATGCTAGGATTAAAGGTGTGTGTGCCACCATTTTCTGGCCTCTATGTCTATCTAGTGGCTGTTCTGTCCTCTGACCCCAGCTAAGTTTATTAGGATGCACAATATATTAGGGGACACAATATATCACCACACTGGGTCCCTGGATCATACCAAATGGATTGTAAAAGGTTTCATAGCTCCCAAACCCTGCATTAGCCCAGTTCTGAAACACTTCTAGATCTGTGTTCCTTTACATTCCAGCTAGCTCAAGACCCCAAGTCTTAAGGGGAACCTTTAAAAAACTTGATGGAGTTATAGTAGGAAAACTCACGTGTGACAATAAAGCTTCTGGAATTCCTAAATGCATTTTTTAATAGAGGAACATTAAATTATATTGACTGGAATTTAGTAAGTTGAATCTGGCAGAAGCTAAAATAATAACCTTAAATTCATGTGACTGACTCCATTAAACTACATTCATAGGCATGATATAGACACAAAATGGAAATGTCAAAGTTTCCAAAAGTATATATTTCCCCCATTTATGGTAACACTATTGTTTGCAAAGAGATTTTGCTCCTGTTTCTTTGTAGTGCTGGGGGTGAAACCCAGGGCCTCACATACACTTGTTTAATATACCATTGGGATGTATGCCTAGCTCGACTGTCTCCTTCAATTTTCACTTTCACTAATGACTCCTAAAAGCACACAGTTCCGGTACTGATCTCTCCATGACAAGCCAACTCTTTGCCGGCCACATTTCTTGATAGATAGGTTTCCTACAGGAAGTTATTATGTAGTTTATCTCTAATCAAGTACATTAGACGAAGTTTATGATTGGAGTCAAAGGCAAGTTTGTGTGTATGAGTGACTGCATGCTAGACAAATCAGTTTTAATTTTCTATCACATTACATTAAATACTCTTTTCTATATGTTACAATTGGTCCTTAAATTTTAGGTTCTCTATGTTCAGAAACCCAACTTTATCATCAATCTGACATGGTGTATTCTAGTCTTGCAAATATTTCATAGTATATCGTGTTGGATTTCAGTAGCACATCTCTGGAAAGGGTAGATAGTTATAAATAAAATTCTTTAAGACAGATCTGGAGTGGCGTTTGCCACTGCAGTTCCAACTTTATGGGAGGCTGAGGCTGGAGGATCATTTGATTCCAGGAATTTAAGGCCAGTCTGGACAACACAGAAAGATCCACCTCTCAAATATGAGTAATACATAACTTTCTAAAATTTAAATCAATTTCTTTAAATAATGTTCTACTATCCTCTAAAATTACTCCAGAATAATGAGTTGGCTGACTTAGATGAATTACACACAAATTCCTGAAGGAGTAGTTTAGTTGGTTAAATTGGACTTTATACATAAAGATGTATTTACCAAGTGACAGGCTACTGATATTTTTTGTGTGAGGCAAAGGGGTTTAAATCAAGAAAAGACCCCCTGAAACGAGGTCAATTCCAGATAAATCCAAGGACTACAGACGTTCTACGGAGACTCTAGAAGCCAAACCCTTACCACTGAAGAGAACACTCCAAATTAAAACGTCCTAGGAGAATTAGTCAGTGGCCCTGACCCCAAGCACTGGAGGACACAGACAACCATTTCGTGGGGTTACTGCTTCCTTCCTTCAATCCAAAGTCCCTGGGAAACCATGGTGGGACAGGAAGGAGGCTAACCACTGCTATGGCGTCCAAATAACAGCAGAGTTGGGAGATACAAAATGAGATCCGTTTTGTTTGTTTACTCCTGAACTGAAGAAGCGAACCTAGGTAACCTCACACGGTGGCTACAGTTTAACCTTACTTGAAACAAAGTAGCCCGGGTCACCCTTGACACTTGTCGGCGAGACTTCCACCCGACCAACCTTCGGCTCCCCGCGCGCCCAGTGGGGGGTTGGGCCGGAAGGGCGCGGCGGGGGCGGAGCAGGTGGGCTCCGGGGGGGCGTGGCTCCGAGGAGGCGGGGACAACGCGGCCGGGCCGGGAGCTTGGAGGACCTAAGAGGCGCGGCCGGGGCCACGCCCCGGGCGGGAGGGCCGCTCTGTGCGCGCCCGCTCTATGATGCTTGCGCGCGTCCCCCGCGCGCCGCGCTGCGGGCGGGGCGGGTCTCCGGGATTCCAAGGGCTCGGTTACGGAAGAAGCGCAGAGCCGGCTGGGGAGGGGGCTGGATGCGCGCGCACCCGGGGGGAGGCCGCTGCTGCCCGGAGCAGGAGGAGGGGGAGAGCGCGGCGGGCGGCAGCGGCGCTGGCGGCGACTCCGCCATAGAGCAGGGGGGCCAGGGCAGCGCGCTCGCTCCGTCCCCGGTGAGCGGCGTGCGCAGGGAAGGCGCTCGGGGCGGCGGCCGTGGCCGGGGGCGGTGGAAGCAGGCGGCCCGGGGCGGCGGCGTCTGTGGCCGTGGCCGTGGCCGTGGCCGGGGTCGGGGCCGTGGCCGGGGCCGGGGCCGGGGCCGCGGCCGTCCCCAGAGTGGCGGCAGCGGCCTTGGCGGCGACGGCGGCACGGGCGGCTGCGGCGTCGGCAGCGGTGGCGGCGTCGCCCCCCGGCGGGAGCCTGTCCCTTTCCCGTCGGGGAGCGCCGGGCCGGGGCCCAGGGGACCCCGGGCCACGGAAAGCGGGAAGAGGATGGACTGCCCGGCCCTCCCCCCCGGATGGAAGAAGGAGGAAGTGATCCGAAAATCAGGGCTCAGTGCTGGCAAGAGCGATGTCTACTACTTCAGGTACCTTTCTGAGGGTGCGGGGGGGTGGGGTGGGGTGGGGTGGGGTGGGGTGCAGTGTCAGGTAGGGGTCAGGGGTCCCAAGAGCTGGCCTGGGCAGGGGTTGCAGGATTAGAACAGAGTCCTGAAGGTATATGACAAGGACCAGGTGAACTGGTATGGAAGGGGAGCCGAAGCCCTCCTTTCCTTGGCAGAGGTTAGACCACAAGTGAGGGGCACAAGTGTCTGAAAGGTGAGGAGGGCACATTCTGTTAGAGGGCTTCCGGGAAAATGGTTCGCAAACGAAGGGTTAATGGGAGGGATGGTTAGTCAGTCCATGAAAGGGTTAAAAGAAGGTGTAATTCATCGAAACTGTAAAACCCAGTCACTGTTGGCGCCTGTCCCAGCATGTCCCGGATTCATCATCAGAAGTGCGTTTAATCTTGCACATGTGGAAGAATTAGCCATCTCCAGGGAGAAAGTTCCAGTTAACTTTGTAGGGTCCAGGGAGGTTTCACTTACCAAGCAGGCATTTGTAACTCCAGAAACTGCGTGGAATGCTTTGGCGTGGCAGGACATGCTCATCTTTTGACAGCGGAAGTTGTCAGACTCCCAGACCAACGTTTGCTCCCCCCAGTGAACATGTGGCAGTGTCTGGAGACATTTTCGGTTCTCACCTGGGGAGAGGGTGCTGTTGGCATCTAGTGAGGAAAGGCCAGAGGTGCTCCCGTGCTGCAGGACTTAGGCAGCCCGTGCAGTAATTATCTTCCCCCAAGTGCCAACCAGGAGTAAAGTTAAGAAAGATAGCTGAAGTGTTTCAAGGTTTCTCACTTGGATGTCATCTTGCAGTACTGCGGTTACACTGCTCATGTCCTTCGTTTGTGATAGATGGCAAGCTCAGGAAAGGGTCATCGGCCATTGATACCAGTGGATTATAAACAAACTGACTGAATGTTCCTCCACACCATCCCATTTTTCAAAGAGTACAAACATGTTATATTGAATAGTTTGGAGGTCCCTTCGTGGACAGATTGAACTGTTTTCAGGCAGTGAAATATCTGAGTGTTTGGGAACTAGTTCTTAGTCATCCAGAAGCTGCAGTAATGTGAAAGATTTCCTATTGGTCATTCACTGGGGCGGGAGAAATATGCTTATGTATAGTATTTCCAAATCATATATGCCATCATTTACGTTTAAAAAGTTGAAAAGTTGTGTACAAGCACACGCATCAAAATACATGAGTGTAGTTCCTGCTGATAGAGACCATAAATATGAACATACTGTTTTCCGTTCCTCTTTGGTGCTGTTGGTCAAACCCAGGGTCTGGTGCATCTATAGGCAAGTGTTCTGCCGCTGAGCAGCAGCATCCCCGGATCCTGAACACATCCTTGCTGGTCTCTTAGATACAGGAATAATTAGTTTACTCTTTTCAGCCCTTGCGTTCCAACTCATTCTTTCGCTTTGTTTGAGACAACTTATTTTCAGTGTTGGGAATTGAATTTATTCCTTGCACGTGCTGGGCCAATGCTATAAACTGAGTCATGTCCTGCTCCCCCTCCCCCCTTTTAAACTTTTGTGACCAGAGCCTTGCTAAGTTTCCCAGCCTGACTTGACTTTGCCTTGGCTGCCTTGGGCAGCCCCCTATGGAGCTGGGATTACAGTTCTATCCCACCAGGCCTGACTAGAAAACTTAAAGTATGAAGAGGATTGTGTGGGTTTGTTTCAGTTTCTCCATCACTGTTCGGGTCAGTGCTGTGATGGTGCTAAAAATAAAACACTAGCCAGACATAGTGGCGCACGCCTTTAATCCCAGCACTCAGGTGGATCTCTGTGAGTTCGAGGCCAGTCTGGTCTACAGAGCAAGTTCCAGAACAGCCAGGGCTACACAAAGAAACTCTGTCTGGGAAAACAAAACAAAAAATTAAAACGCTACAACTCAAAGATATATTTGTTTCATTTAGTGCTATTTACAATTCCTCTTTGCTTTGGATTTCATTTTAATGTTATCTTTCCTAGGCAGGCAGTCTGTATAGGCTTTATGTGAACTGCTGCCGATGTTATGTCTTGGAGGCAGTTATATTTGACAAGAGTTTTTTGTTTCTGGGATTGAATCCCTTGAAGAAAAGCTCCATTCTTAGTTGAACATTGTAGAATTTGTATTTCACTGCTTACAGAACTTGTCTTGGGATATGGTTTGTTTGCTTTTGGAGTGATGTATTTATTCAAACTAACTTGTGTTTTTCTCTTTTTGGATATGTAGCTGGAAAGGCTATTTCAAAAGCCAAACTGGGTGCAGTTGCACATGCCTGTAGTCTCAGACACTCAGGAAATTGAGGGACAGGGTCACTTGAGCCAGCCTGGTTAATGTAACGAGACTCTTGTTTCTAGAGGCTGGCGAGATGGTTTGGCAGGTACAGGTGCGTGCTGTCAAGCCTGATGACTTGAGTTTGGTCCCTGGAGCCCACGTGGTGGGAGGAGAGCGCTGACTCTCTGAGGTTGTCCTCTGACCTCTTCCTCACCGTGCACACTGTCTGCCACACATAGACCAAATAATAAATACACATATGTTAAAAAATTAGAAACACAGTAACCAGAGCTTGGGACTGTCGTAGAGCTCTTGCCTAGCATTTTTGATTATTTAGTAGTAGTATCATCAAGATGGAACCTCATTATGTAGTTCTGGCTGGCCTTGCACGTAGAGATGCCTGGCTCTGCCTCCCAAGTATTGGGATTAAGGCATAAGCACCATACACAGCTAGCATTTTATGTAATGTATGCATAGATGGTGTGGTGTGGAGGCCTGAGATTGACGTCAGGTTTCTTCCTTAGTATCTCTCTACCTTTCATATTCAGTCAAGGTCTCTGACAGAATCTGGAACCAGTGTAGCTAGCCTCTCCCATGTGTGCTGAGATGAAGGGATCAGGCAGGACAGTCAGCTCTTGCATGGATTCTAGGGCTCGCACTCTAGCCCTCACACTTACGTTTCAGGTGCTCTACCCACTGAGCCATCTCCTCAGACCTTGCCTAGCATACGCCAGGCTCTGGGCTGAATCCAGTACTACACAAAAGTAGATAATCAGAAATCAGCCACGTTGTCACAGAGCTCCAGTCTGTTCATGGTCACATTTTCCTGACTCTGTTCTACATTGTTGATAGATTTTTTTTTAAAATTTAAATTTAAATAGTAATGCTTCTTGGTAGATAATCCCAATGTAACTAATTAAAAGCCGACTTTCTGTACAAATTTGTCCTTAGGAAATTCATCAAACATCATAGTGATAGTTACTCTTTTTATACGACACTGCAATGTTATTTCTTGTGCTTTGAAATGGAAAGGACATTGAGGAGATTTGTGCTTATTTGGGGCTACAAAGAGTGTTGTCTGTAGTTTGTTGCTCTCCTGTAAGGTGTGAGTTACTGTGTGGAACTGCTGTCACCTGTTGTGACTCTCTGCAGAGACTATGCTATGAACACTGAGAAGCGTGAAATACAGTGTGAGCTTGCAGTGCATTAGTTTCTTTGACTTGTGATGGCAACTTCCTGTGATGGATTATGATGATGGGCCAGAGTAACTGTGAGTTCATATTACTTTTCAGACTCAGTTTTACATACTGGTGTCCCATATGATACCTACCTTTAAACCAGGAGCTTACAAAACTGTATCTGTTAATGGTAGGTTCAGTGTGAACTCTCCTGCTGGTAGGTAATGCGAACACCTTCACCCAGCTGTTCACACAGCTTCTAATAATGCTAGCCCCCAAATTAGTCTGCTCCTGGGGAGATTAATTTAAACTAAGCCATGCCTATTAACAGAGGGTGTGCCTGACACTTATTAATTGGGCTGAAATTAAATGTACAGGGAAAGCCTTTGGTTTTGGTAGAATATGTTTTGGCTGCATCTTGAAACTGCCCGCGTTGTAATAGAAGCACCTCTGGGTGCCAATTAAGTACTATAATTACGCCCTCTGTCAGGATTACTGAGATAGTGCTGTGGCAGTTCATCTATTATCATCCAAAGCATGTTTTAAGAAAAAGGGTGTGGTTTATTAAACTGCTGGGTCCATTGGTACAGTTTTTGAAAAAATTCATAACCACATTTGAACCCATAAAACAGTAATTTTCTTACTGGCCTTGATCCTTCATTTCTAGCATTTGGCATTCTGTATAACACGTACTGGTTTGTGTTTCTGAAATACTTTCCTCTTCATAGGCTTCTTTAGGAACTTACTCTCTCTTGCCTTCTTTTTTTTCCTTTCCCTGTGCAGCGCCCTTCATGGTCCTGGTACTAGGCATATAATCCCAGTCTGGCTTTGAAGAGGTGGCAGTCCTGTCTCAGCCTCCCCCATGCTGGAATTACAGGCACACACTATCGCTCTTGGCTGGTTTCACTTTCTTGAACTAGAAAGAACAGGACTCAGATGTTGTTGAGGTCCATACAAATCACAAAGGATCTTAATAGAAGTAGGAGTCTCCAGAGGAGGCAGCTAGGTGTAAGATTGGATCTGGAAATGGTTCTCCAACTCCTGGGCTTAACAGTGGCGCACTGTGAGCATGCTACGGCTTTCCCCATGCTCTTATTGCCCACTCATTAGTGGGGTCTGGTTGCCACAGTACTTCATACTATTTGACACAGGGATTAATACAGTCCTCGCTCGGGTAACCAAATAAGCACCACCTTCAGTAAGGAGTGACCTATAGCTTTATTTTTGCTCACAATCCAGGGGATACAATCCATGCTGGCTGAGAAGGTGTGACTGTAGCTCTAACCCAGGTTATTACCCCTGACCCAACCTTGAGTATCTGAAGCAAATTTAATACTGTATAATTTCATTCATAAAGAACCTCTTCAGTAGGTTGCTTGTGGTGGTAAGATTGAAACATGGCAATTTTATAACCAGACGTAGCTCAGTATTGCAAAACTAGAAGAAGAGTCAGCAGTCACGTCATGATTATTCCTGCCAGAGCGGTGCTGTCTCCATGGGTTCAGAGGAGGGAAACACGTTTATTGTGAGTGCTGTGGGGG